GGCTTCCCTTTAAAATGAAAATTCTCTATCAACTCTAAATTAAGGACCTCTACAGATTCAAACTCTGAATGAATTTTGTGACAGAGAACAGAATATGGACTCCTTAGTCTCTATTCTTTTCCTTGTCTATTCTAATTTACTTGGTTGTATCACATTCCTAATTTCCCCCAAATCCTAGGGAAGACAGGAAAAGTGATACAAGTTGGGGATAAAACATGTGCAGACATCCCATATTGAGCCCATAGAATGGATAAAAATTTAGAGAACAGTTTTTATTTAAAATTAGTTCAGCTCTAAAAAGGAAAGGGTTAAGCTGAGAAGAGATAGGTCTTGGCATGTGAGACATGTTTGTTTGGATCTGCTGGTCATGAAGCAGTTCCCTAAGTTGGTTCAGATGCAGTTGTTTATTTCTCACAGGTTATTCTGCTATGGACTTGGTCAGTGCCCTTGTAGGAATGCTAACATTTTTGGGTGGGGCAGATAATTGCCTCTCTACAAGGTCTCTACTGGTAGCAGCCTGTGGTTACCACAATGATTTTTTTCTAACCTACTTTCCTTATCTTTGGATTTTGGGATGCTGCTCTGTACACTTGGTTCCCAAACTGATGTGTGGGAACCAGAGAGGTCTCTGGCCTGGGTGCTCACTTCTCCATTAATATTGCTTATCTGTTTTATTCCACAACCTTACCTTAAACTCTGATATAGTTGTGTCCTGATTCCTTTTCAATACTTTATTTTTCTCTGCACGTATAACATATCTAGCTCTTGAGTGCCTGGGTTCTACCTTAACTAAAAACATCTAGGTATTATTCCGCTCTGATAGTCTGTCTCAAGTTCTAGCTCTTGCCATATGTTACCCAGTGTCGTTCCTTACCTTCTCTCTGAGTTCTATTTTCCTCCCAGGGTTTCAGAACAAACATTTATAAATATGTATGGAAAGGACTTCTGGGTTCCATAACAACACTGCTTTCCTCCTTATGAAGAAGCCCTGGACAAATATTTATTCGTCTTGTAGCTGGTTGAAGTCTGACTGTCAATGCAATGATATTTATTATAAAAGACACATCCCAAAGGGTGAATGTTTGGGTTTGATGCTAGAGTCTTCCATTTTATTTCTTCTAATTAATAAAACTGCTTTAGACATGGTATGTGGAAACCGCTCTGAGTTTGAGGAAAAGCTGATGATAAGTCTCTGAAAAAAACTTGTGTTATGATTTCGCGTAGTAGTGATATTGCTGCAGGAAAACAGGTGCCAACCAAAAAGCCTAGCTTTGAAGAAAAGCTTCATAGTTGAGTTATGAGACAGCTGGGAAGCAGCAAAATAGATATGGATCCATAAGCCCCACAGGAAAAACAACTTTAATCAGGGCCTGACACATTTGGTGATTGTAACGAAGTCTCTTGGTTTGTGTAAGCCCTGGATCAAATGGCACCAATTGGGTATTGACAAGCGTTCCATTAGTGCAAAACTGGATGAAAAACTGGCTCTTGCCCTGCACAGACTCCAATAATGAGAAATAAGTTTCTTGTAAAGAAAGAGACTTGGTTTGTTTTCAAAAAACATATGTGCACTGGCCCAGGTGATACCTCTGGTGGACTGAAATTCCTCTAAGCTCAGCCTTCATGTACTACATTGGCATTTAGTGCAATCTTTCCAAGTATCTCCAAATGACAGGCCTCTTTGACTCCTTAAATTGATTCCATGTTTCTCAATGCCAGTAGCTAATGCTGGCAGTTTGACCCAGGAACAGAGAGCGTCGTCCTGCTCTGAGAGCCCCTCAAATGGATTTTACAAGGGAGTGGTACATACAATGCTTCAAGGTGCAGTGAAGCATGTTTCTAGCACTTTTCACAGATCATAAATTAATTTGAAATGAACTTCTCTCCTCCCACAAAACAGAATATCAGAGAAGGATTGTCATCATGGTTTTTCAGTAGCATAGTGCCCGAGGGGGGAAAAGTCATTTTCTCCTGCATTTGTTGACTGGACACGTGATTGGTACCAAATGCTAGGCTGCCACAAATGCATGGCATGTGTGTCCAATTCAAAATAATTTGCAGTTTGGAGTAGATTCTCCACAGCTTCAGCCCTGAAAGTGAAAGACTGGAAAGAGCTATGCTTATTTTGTTGTAAAGATGGGTGTTATGTAAAGCCCCAAACTGATGCATCAGGGACCCCAAATGTCCTGTCCTTACTGTTTCTGTATTGTAAATGTGAGTGACTGTTCTTGGTAGTTATCTGGAAAAGATAAGAAGTAGCTGATGGGACACACAGTCTTATTTTATAATTATGTGTGGGCATTTGGTAAACAATTATAAAATAATACAGTATCCTCTGTAGTAGTAATGCTGCAAGATAGAAGGCATGAAACCAATTTTGTTCTTCAGAACTTAAAATTCAGTGTTTCTTTCACTTGTGTGTAGCACCTGCTATTTTATATACAATAAAATTTTACAGAATTGATATATGAAATTTGGTTGATATCATTAGTTTCATATTTTCTTTTCCTTTGTGTATAGTAGGACCCACAGAAAAGCATATTTGATGAACTGTACTATGATTGAAAGTGACTGTGCATTAAAGAGTATAGGAATATTGAGGTGGAAGAGAAGGGAGAAAGGAAATCAAAATGGAGAAGATGTGTGTTAGTAGGGAAGCATCTAGATAATTCAATATTGACTATCTATTAGTGGCCTTCTTTTCTCCTGTCCAGATTTTCTCCTGATCTCTCGAATTTCACATCTAGTTGTCCATGGAATACTCTTGTTCTGTGTTCCACAGGTGCTTCAGATTCAGTGTTCTGAATGAACTTTTCATTTTCCTCCAAATATGTCATCTTTACATAGTTTTGGTCTTGAAGAATGGCACTACCATTCTACCCAGGAGTCGTCTCAGATGACTTTACCTACCTTCATTCTCACTTAATAGTTATAAGCAATTGTAGAGTCTATCTCCAAAAGTCCCTGCATTTTTATAGCCAAGTTTCCTGCTTTAGCAGTTCTCATTGGGTCACTAGGCGAATGGACTGGCTGACTCCACCACCCCACTACTTTAAGTTAGCCTTTACCCTGCAGCCATAGCTTTTTAAATGCAAATTTGATTCCATCACTTCACTGATTAAAATTCTTTAACAGTCCTTTTTGCCCATAGGATCAATTTAGCACCCAAAATTTTTTATAATCTAGCTGTGCTTGCTTCTCTAATCTTATTTCCTGACTACAATCTGGGGTCTATTTATTATACGAAAAGCAGTTTTCAATAAATACGGTGCTGTTTCATATTTCCATGTCATTGCATATTCGAATTTCATTTTTGGGAACACCTTTTTGTGTTTTGTGTTTGGTATTTGGTTGGGGATTACTCACTCATCCATAGTTAACTCACATTTCTTCATCTGGGGAGCTCTCCTGGACTTCTTACTTTCAGTTATGCTTTTACTCTAGCCCTCCCAGTATCATGTGCATTATCCTAGCATTGTGTCCATCCATGTTAGTTTAATTGCTGGTTTTTCAGTGTCCCTCATTTATTCTAAGCTCTTTAGGATCCAGAACACTGCTTTTATATTTTCGAGGTTCTAGTGCAGTATAGTTTCTGCTATATGATGAATACTCAATGTATATTTATTGAATGAATACACGAATGCAGTGATAAGAGCACAGCTTCATTGGGATGATGGATGAGAACTCCCAGTTTGGAGAGAACATCTCTATTGTTTGGGGGCATTTGGCAATGCATAGACTTAAGAGCTGAAAGAAGATTTGATCTTAATTCACATTTGATTTGCACCTCAGGGGCGTATTGATCTTGAAGAAGCCCATAGCAATTGGAGACTATGTAAGGGCGTATAGAAAAAATAAAAACTGAAGAGAGATTTTATTTTGTTCTTTTAGTCTTTGATGTATTGATACACTCTCTCTTTTCCTTTCTGCCTTCTTCCCTCTCCCCCATCCTCTATAGCTTCTCCCAAAAGAAGCATAAAATAGTGGTATTAGAACATATAGGTTTATTTTTAAATTATTTATACATTAATATATGAATAAATGCATATTTATTCTTAAGATGACTATGTAACTATGTATGTATATTATGTATACATATAAAATTTAAAAAAATAAAATATATTTTAATTCTTTTTAATTACAGTATAATTCTGTGCTGATGTTGGTAAGGATCAGAAAAGGAGTCTGGGACTGGAAAGGAAGAAAGGAAGTCACATAATAGCAAAGGCAGAATATGTATTTTGAGAGCCGGTCTTAGGGGAAGAGAAAGAAGCAAAGGCAAAGTGCATGGGGTAGGCAGAATGCATAGGGCCATAGAACTTATTCCTCTGCCTGTTGAGGGGGATGTGGTTAATGCAAGGGCAGAAAAAGCCAGGGTTGAGTGGTACACAGGGTTCCCATATATTCAGCCTGGAGATACCATGGACAGAGCTAAGGCGGGTTTCCTCTGTGGATTAGGGAACGCCGTGAATAAACTACCACTGGGTAGACATGGGGAAGGTCTTTTTAGCCATACCGAACTAATTATTAACATACGAATTCCCCAAAGCTTTTTTTGTCTCACCTATCCTCTGCTGATACTCTAGAGCTCTGGTGGCACTGAGAATGGGTGGTCAACATGCTAGATATCCCTTCTCTTGTAAACTCAGCCTCTTGGTGTTCTCTTAAGTTGGAGAAAATGCATCTAGGGAAGAAAATGTATTCAGTGCCTTCTGTGATGCCGGGTTTATGAAAAGCCAACTGACACTGCTAGGGATCTGAAGGATGTATGGCCTGGGTAAAGGGCTGAGCAGGATATCATTTGCAGTGTACTTCTTACTTTGGTGTGTAAAAGTAAGTTGTTATATTAAGATTGCTTTCAAGATGTGGCTAAAAAGCAATGTATGTGCTTCAGGCACGAAAAACAACCAATTCCTATTTCTAACCACTAGCCCAGGCACTTTAATTTACTCCTCCTAACCTCACTCTGATTTGAGTTTATCATCCTGATTTTACCACAGGAGAAGCTGGACTTCGCAGATAGTCAGTGGCAGAGCTGGGTTCAACCCTGGATCTGGCTGACTTGAATCCTGTTCACATTCTTTTCTCCACTCTGCCTTATTTGCTGTCACATCTTGGCTGGCAGGCACAGAGTCAAACCTGACAGGGACCGTGAAAAGCCGGGAGTTTTCAGCCTGCTAGGCAAGCGGCAGTGCCATAGAGGTAAGTCCCTGTGAGCGCTGTCATTTATTTCTGTCTACTTTAAATCTCTTATCTGTAAGGTGAAAAGCATTTACAAAGCTTTCAGAAAAATGCTTTGTGATTACCAGCACTAGGCGAGCAGTGGCTTGCCTGTTTTTCACAGATAGCTGCAAAATATGTCTTTTAGGGAGAATTATCTGCTTTCTTCCACTTAGATTCATATACAAACACACCGATGAAGAAATATGTTTTGGAATCCCATGGTCCTAGGTATGAGTAGATAGTTTCTATTCCAGGTTGTACTGAATCAGGTGAAAAAAGCAAGTAAATACTATGAAACAAAAAAGTAAATATTCAGTTGTAAATAAACAAAATCCCCAAACCTACCCCTGCTGACAAATTCCTGCCTTATGATGATTCTTGTTAAGCCTCGGAATCCCAACATGTGATTCCATTGGTACGAAATATCAGGTGTTCCCTACCAGTGGGACAAATACTTTTTAAGACCTTGAGAAAATAACAAGGAAAGGGCTAAAATACCTCTTTTTAACTTAAAAAAAAAACACACCTGGCACTCCACATGGCATACATATTTCAAAACATTATGTCTTACATGATAAATGATATAGTGTTTATCATCAATTAAAATAAACAAAAATAAAACCCCAAATGTCTAAAAGCATACCTAGCCTCTCTTGGTAGGATCTACTTGGATGATATATTTATCTCTGAAGAGAGAAAGAAGAAGAATTGGCACCTCCCTTGGCCTGATGAGAGCTTAGTCTTTAGTGTCCTTTGCACTTTCTCCATGCAGACTTCAGCTATGAGAGCAATTCTTAACAAATTGTACAGTTGACCTTCTATAAGCCGGCTCCTCCTGCATGATTAAAAAATTTAGTGTGGCATGAGAATGTGATGATTCACGAAGCCCTAGACACTTACACTCCCTGCTCTTATATACTTTGTTAAAAGATAGACCTCAGATGCTTGCTGCATTCTCCGGGTGGACCGTGGGAGCCTTCGAACCTGGAGCCCAGGCCTTGCTGCAGCTGCTGTGCTTATACTCCTCCCACCTAGGCTTCCAGAGTCAGGGAATCCCTGAGGGAGGAAATTCTGTGTCCTCAACAAAGAGCCAGTTTTTGTATATTCCCACTGAAAAACTGAACATAACATTTAAAGTGTAGAGAATCTGTTATTCTGAGATTTTAAAAATATATTCAAAGCCAACTGATTCTATTTGAAATAGCTCTTCCTTGTGAGGTGCATAGTCCTGTCTGGAAAATGGCTTTAATAAGCCAGGCATGCTAGGGTGACTGCTTTGCTCCACTTTGCTTTGCTGTTGAAACATTAAGCATAATCTGATGTGTCAATAGAGTCACCTCAGGTACTCAGAATCATTTTAATTCCTCTTACCGTCAAAATATAGTATCAATACTGACACGAATTGGCATTAAAAATATATGCGAAATCACTTGGAGAACAGCACTTTTTACTGATAGGAGGTCTCTTTAAAAACAATGTCTGTCAGAGATACAATTTGAACTCTTTTTTGGCTTTGAATTTTACAGAGTAGCCTTTAAAAAAAAAAAAGCAAAACAAACAAAAAAACCCGCAGACTTGCTTTGCATCATTCAAACCTATGTATAGAGGAAAAAAGCTTTTCCTTTTTATCTGACCTCTTGGGAGATGCTGTCCATTCTCAACATTGACCTGAGATGGATGTGCAAGATGACACATAAGCGGATGACATCACTCATGGCTTATGATTAAATACTTCCCTGGGACTCACAAGATGTGCATAGAAGAAAATGGGAAGGAGTGGGTGATGCTGAGAACATTCTTATTTACTCCACATGGGTGCATGTTTTTACTACTAGAGATAGATTTCAGGGGAGAATATGAGTGTACAAAATGAAAGAATATAGATATAAAAGCCTTAAATTTTAGTTTTGAGAGAATACAAACAAAATATACATATATTTGTCATATTATATTTCATATGCTTTCTAATATGTAACAAACTATGTAAATGTATGTGATGTATAAAAGTCAAATAGATGCAGTTTGCAGTATATATGTTCGCTGTATATCATGTGTGTATAGTGTTCTAGATCCCCAAGAAAATAAAAAAACTAAGAAAAAATGTTTTTTGATAAATGACATATTCCTTGCTAAGTGGCATATTCCGATTGCTTAATAGTATAACTACACATTCATTATTTGACTTTTTGTAAATATATTATGATGCTATGCTTGATTTTTATATATATATTGTAATGTTATATTTGAAGAGGCAAAGTGTTCTTCAAGCGTTATTTAGGAAATAATTTATTTTTTAAGATGGGAAACCCATCAAATGTGTGCTTATTGACATTTGGCACACACAGTTGTTTGTTTTATTTTCTTGCTTTGCAAAAATATTTGGGAAATAAATGACCTGTTGAATTGAAAAGTGAACATCATTGCATTTCAATCTTTGAAACCAATAGATTCTATTGACAAGAATGACCAGATTTTCTTTGTCATTCCTGAAATTGTAGAGCTGGTCATTCTTTTTATAGTTTGCTAATGTTAGCAGGTGTTTCCTGTGTGTTTGTGTGTGCATGTGTGTGTGTGTGTGTGTGGCAGCAAATCACTCAGCTGACCTTTTTCATAATCAACTACAATAAATGGAGTGTGTATGTATGTGTGTGTGCCTGCACTTTTGGTGTGATGGACAGTTTGCTTAAATGTATGGAAAAAGTTAATCCCTCTGCCCCTGACCTTTGGCACAGGAACCTTGTGCTGCCAGTAGAAAGTGTGGTAAATGCCAAGTCCTTTGGGCAGAGTATGTTTGCATTAATGTTTTCTATGCTGGAGCCTGAGCCATAGATTTTCTGTCAGCCATTCTTTGCCCTGCTGATATGGAGGAGGTTGAGCTGTATATAGAATGTAGTGCCTACTGCCATCTGTTTTGACACCCTGAATATTTTAACCCTAGCCAGTGTATTAAAGGAGAAAGTCTCTTAGTCTCTATCACACATGCGATTTCTGTGTAGTACGGAAGGTGAAAAAAGCTGTGCAGTTTAATGTGATTGTCAAAGGGTCAGTTGTCATGTTAATTATCAAGAGCTGAGTGATTATAACACAAAGAGGGAGGAGGATGGATGTGGTACACACGAACCTTGTAAATAGAGTTAACTCTTGATGTTCTTGGAAGCCTAAGGCTGCAACTCTCCAGTGTCACATAGGCCTGGATGCAGCTCTGCATATGCTGATCTCTGTCTGGAATGCCTTACCACCATGAAGGTTTTGGGTTACGGGGAATACGTGCTCCCAACAGGGTGAGGCAGCTTTGGCAGAAAGACCTTTCAGTAGGAGATGAAATGCTGCCAGTCTCGCATCTGAATTTAGCAGTTTGGAAGCCATTCTTGACTCCTCTACCTTCACCTTGCTTCTATTGATTCAAAATGTAAACATCCTCTAGATCAATTGTTTCTGCTCCATCAGCATCTTCATGGCCTTAGGTCCTCTCACTTCTTGCCTAGATTACCTGCCAAATTACTGGAAGTGGCCTGTCCAATCCTTTCTTCTGTGTACTTTTGAAAATATTGCAAATCTACCATGCCCTTTTGACCTGCGTGTTATTTTCACACACACCTTGTCCTGCCTCTCCCGTCATTCTGCATAGGTCTGTCTCTCCATTTCCTATATTTGTGCCTCCTTTAAATCCCATGGATACATATAATCTCCTCCCTGGAAGCCTTCACAAGTCTGATTTAAAAGTCCTTCTTTGGGCTCTCATGGTACCATGTGCTTGTTTTGGTTATAGTTCTTTTCCCGATTTATTACAGTTGTCTCTTGACAACTCCTGCCTTCCAGAACATAAGCTTCTTGAGATGAGGGATCATTATATTTTGTTTTGTATACTAGAGCTGGGCAAAGGGTAGTTGCAAAATAAGAGTTTCTTATATTAACTAAAATATAACATTAATTTTAGATAATAGTACATGACAGACAGTAGTCCTGGTAGATGGTCAGTGAAAGAGAATGTTCATTGAGGAGATGGTTGGTGACATACATTCATTCTCATAATTGTCTTCCCTGAACCTCTCTCATCCCTCACCTACACCAATCCTGACATGATCACTTGAAATTGACTTGGGTTAAATCATCTAAATCCTTGTATTCCACTTTATTGAATCAATCATAATCTTTTTTTTTTTTTTTTTTACTTAAAGTTCTTTTTTTTTTTTTTTTTTTTTTTTTTTAAATTTTTTATTGGATTATAGGTTTTGGGGTACATGAGCAGAGCATGCAAGACAGTTGCGTAGGTACACACATGGCAGTGTGCTTTGCTTTTCTTCTCCCCTTCACCCACATTTGGCATTTCTCCCCAGGCTATCCCTCCCCACCTCCCCCTCCCACTGGCCCTCCCCTTTTCCCCCCAATAGACCCCAGTGTTTAGTACTCCCCTTTCTGTGTCCATGTGTTCTCATTTTTCATCACCCACCTATGAGTGAGAATATGCGGTGTTTCATTTTCTGTTCCTGTGTCAGTTTGCTGAGGATGATGTTAGTACCTTCTTCCTACTTTCACTGATTTCCAAAAGGGGAATTTCTTCTAATTATTCCTGAGCTTCCTTTCTTTCTCTCTCTCTTTTATTTTTTTTTTTTTTTGCCTCATTCCTTACAATTTTCCTTGGAGTGACAAAGAGGACTGTTTAGTAACTTTGGGAATGGATTTAAGAATGTATCATGTGTGTTTTACCTTCGTTTTTTTTTTGGAGCATAGCTACACACAGGAGCATGCATTCAGCTCTGCTACCTTGTGTCTTAAATTTTACAGAACAGGCCCTCACACGGGGAAGTCTGGTGCTGCCTATAACAGGATGAGGAGGACACTCTGATTCTGATGCTCAATAATAGGGATGGAAATTCGCCAAATATATAAACCACATTCTCCAGGATTAGATTTATCAGTATAAAAGGTGATATGTTGCTATTCCAGCTGTCTTACTCTTTTATTGTATTTTGTATTTG